AGTACATGATATCAGATAAACCCCATCAACCAGTCTCACAATTTCTCGTTAACCAAATCATGTTCGATTAATGACGATGCGATTCTTTAACCAATGGACAAGCTAAACGGATTTTATCATCACTTTTTTTAACTGATATCGCAGAAAATGTGCGTTCATGGGCGGGGGCGGAATGCTGTTCAGCTTCCTATGACCTCTCGGTTACAATACTCAGGCGTAATTCCAAACCGGTTCAGGATTGTTTGAATTTCGAGAGTACCTTTCCATGCGCCTGAAACAATCGCTTGAAAAGACCTCAGACATTTTCAAAGGGCGTGCAAATCCGGGATATGAGCCGTTCAGTCCGTAGTATTGATTTTCCAATGTAGTATCACATTCTGGTGACCTGGACTATGTGCACAGAGGCTTTATCATGTTGGAAAATCATTATTCCTCTTCGATTTTTCTGTGGAAGGATTAGAGAATTTTAGTTCGGCAGTCTACATTCAACACTGACTCCACGAAAACAAAACTACAACTGATAGAAAAACTATATTGACAAAAGACCGTGCTACCAGAGAATGTTCAGATGCAAACGTAAATGTACATGGTGAATGTTTGGATTAGCCCATTCGGTTTTTTACAGGCACCAGGCACTGTTGATGATGCTGGGTGTGGGTTTCACTCCTTGGGAGATCGTTAATTTTCCACTGTTCGAATGCATCTAAATTGGGTGGACATNACAGAGTTAAACCGGATGGACTTATCCAAACATTCGCCATCCACATTGATTAAACCGTTCGCACAAGATGATAACCGTCGACCGTGTAGCCCAGGGGTAAGGGTTTGAAGTGCCACAGCAACTCGTCACGTATTTACCGCACTGCACTTAACCCTTACTAAGGTCGCATCATGAACTAATAATTGGTTTTTAGGCGAGGTCTTTCCTGAGGTTCATCAACTCTCCGATAATCGTCCGACTGGGTGTAACACTAAAATCAGTTTTCTTTAAATAACAACTTGGCTCGATCAACATTCTCAACATATTCCGCATCCATCTGATAGACAGGCGCTTACACATTGTCATATCTTGAACTACTGGCATATACATGTCCTCTCTTCAAGGGTTATCCAAATGGTGAGCAGCTTAATGTGCACGTCACACTAGATGAGACGTCATTGGCCTAACACGATATTGTACATTGGTAAGTTCGTCTGGTCGGTCCATCATCGATCAGCGACCCACGGGAGTATCAAAACCTGCGACATTCCACAGTCAGAACCCACGCTATTAGATTGGGTTTGTTGAAAAGTGGGAACATATATTGGAAAATGCGATTAATCATGGGTGCCACATAGGAGGAAAACGATTGTCATAGTATCGATCCGCTCTAACCAATCCGATTTCAGTTATGAACTGCAAAATGTCATTGATTTGTAAACTGCTTCACCGCATTTCTGAGTCCACGTAACGCTTCTGCCTACCGGCGAGTTGACCATTTTGCTTGCTCACCGGCTCACAGACCACGTACACATGAGCACACTGTAACTAAACGAATAGCCTAATTTATTGAGTGGTTATTTACTTACCGGAATACAACAACAAACTTCCCACACACACAAAATATGAAGATTATGAAAAACAGCTTTTTGGAGAAGTCGAGACCTGTTCTCCAAAGTTTGCCGGACTGAACAAACGAAGTAGAGATGTGAACAAGTTAGATTAAGTGATTTTCGCCCACTTTGTTGGAGTCCAACAGATGAAGATTGTCCTTGGATAGGGACGCGAAGAGATCTAAGAGGTTTATGATACATAATTTATTCAGTGAACTCCCGTGATCTGTAGAGACTAGGACAAAACAATCAGCAACAAACAACGACTGTTTTAATTTGTTCAAACCGTCATGTCTGCTGAAATTGGACTTTGATTTGCTGATGCCAATCCCGCTTGCGCTTAGGCCGGTGTAAAATATACGAATGAGTGTATTCCGTCCTACCCATCGCTACAGCTTCGAAAACGCACCGCATAGATACGCCACCGTGATTCACCGTCTCAGCACGACCGGATCGTGTTTCACCACGAGCATGCAACCGCAACTATCAGGCCACAAATCTACTTCGTCCGATGGTTGAACAGTGCGATTGGGAGAATTCAGAGGAGTAGGCTCCACGAATACGACCAGCACAACTTTAACTAGGTCACAAAACCAGTCAAAAATCCCGGCGAAGCATTACATGACAAAGCGACTAGGACCACGGAATCACCGATATGGACGTCGTGTGCTGCGCCGAAACCTACTAACTCCGATCGGATAAATCGAACTGAATTTCGTTCGTTTATACCAACACCATCATTGATGAAAAGCAACACCTTAGTCTTCAATGACTTGGAATGAGAAAATTTGTTTGGTACCAAATATGCATATTCTAAGTTAACTGCATACGGAAAATAAAAGCAGTCCAATCGAGGAAGATTCGATTTCTGAGTTTGAAGAATACTCAAAACACAAAGTCACACGGATGTGAAGTGAAATTTCAAACAACACCGGGAAGCAGAAATTGACCCAGTGACACATTATCGACCTGAGTGACTGGTTAGGTTTGCACAAAGTAATTCATAAAACTAGGGGAGTGGGAACGCGTGCGATTCAATCAATCCTCGATTTTCGGTTGCGGCTGGATCGGCTCNCGGCTCGGCATAGTATTCGCCGTCCGGTGGATGGCGAATATCGTCCAAACTTTGAATCAGTTTGAGTTCCAGTTGAGCTGACGACTGCACCGGTTGACTCGGGGCTGGAAAAAACGGAATACACAAACATTAAGAATCCGGATTGTATTGGAAACAAATGAAAAATCGTTCCGTGTGTAATTAGGTCGAACAAAGTGAAATTATCTCGAAATACATTGATAAGAAAGTACGCTCGAGAGAAACAATTGTGATGATCGACAAAGACCACTCTGTCCTATCGTTTGAGACGCGTCAGCAGTGCGCAGATTTCGTGTCCCTGTCGGGACTAAAACCGCGAACCTTCGGGATGGGGGCCACAATGATTTTGTCGCAATCAAGTGCACATAACTGGTGGGCACCCAAAAAATGAAACCCACCGATTGGGTTATCCAAACATGTACAGTCTAGATTTTGAAAACCTTCGCCTTATCAAAGATAGTGAGATTCAACTTGGGAAAAACCCAATCAACATTAGGCAGTAAATTTTTTGATAGTTACAGCTACCGTACTGCGGACTTGGTGCCGAATTGAAGAACTCCCATCCACTAATCATGGTTGTATGACACCCAATTTTACAAGCATATGCTGTCACTAGCATCTCGTATGTGCTTGATCAAAGCGCACGTGGGTGGTGTCTGGTGTCACAAAGTTGTAAGTGATGAAGTTGAATGCCTTAAAATGTCATGGGCATGCTGAGCAGTCAATGCGGAGTAACATGTCACGGAACGTACAGTCGCTTATTCTTAAGAAAATCTCTCATGGTAAAACCTTCTTATTATTGCGTCGTGTCCTCTCCACCAAGACATCAGAATTTGTATTGTAAATAATAAGGTTTACGAAAAGTTTTCACGTTTCGGATCGAATAATTTCATCGAACTCCAATCACTAAAGTGAACAGTGGATCGCAATGACAACCCGGTTTGACCTAGTCCAGAGTGTGTTTCGAACGACAAGAATTATTTCAGTGACAGCTTGACACCGTGAACTCATTGGTCTTAATTTGGAGTCTATGGTCGACGGTAGTGAAATTACCCCCAGCCTCAACCGCGAAGTTGCCCGCATATGCATACCGAAGTCCACTAAAAGCAGCGAAAAGTTTACCATAATTTAACCAGTTACTGTAGAATTTAGTGGCTCTGGAAAGCAGCAGCCTGTAAAATCGTTCCCACATTTCAGTGAACCGTTCTGGTTTACAATCACCACGGGTGCTTAGAAGGTCGCACTAGACTGGTTACCGCAGTACTCATTTGATCGGACAATTTTGACCACTTAATACATATATTAAATTTCGAATGAAACCCTTATGAAACGGCGAACTTTGCAGTCAACCATAGGTCGCTACAGGCAATAGGTCAAGCAGATCGGTGAATGCAGTTCTTGATACGCTCGGTTGTGAAAGCGACGTCGTTGATCTCCAGTGTTCATTGTGCTAATTTCGTTCTATGTTCGCATTCATTTTACAAGTCTGTTCTTGGCGGTCAGGATGTGGTAGACTGGTGAGATTCGCTCAAACGTTCAAACACTAATTCTTCTTTTTTATCACCTCTATTTCTGATTTATTTTGTCTACATATAACGGTCCAGTTGGAGCAGACATAATATTTGTTTTATGTGACACCCTCAGGTGTCAAGACAAGCTTCAGCTAAGACATATCGGGTTGGAGTCGCTGGCACACTGATGACTGTCCAGTCATTAAATATCAATGTAATCACCGTTGAGTCACGTTCTCTCCCCATCCCTGCCTTTAACACCTGGTTCGAACGAAGTACTTTTCGTTACTTTATGTCAAACGAGTCAGAAAAACATGTTGGAAGCTCAGACATAATGTGTGAAGAACCTGGTAACCTAATTCCACATATCACCCTGTATAAGTATCAACAAACAACTCGGTCAAAATGATTGTGCCCGTTTCCTATGTTACCGTTCTCCGTGATCGTGGGCCACATGCTTGGCCTTTAAGATTGAACCATCGTCAAAGTCCGAGCAACTAAGACCAGCATTTATTCCACCCATAGCTCGCAGTAAATAGTGCACCACCGATTCACCAAATCAATGTCCGTCGGCGAGCGGGACATGATATAAGATCAAGGTCTGCTTCATTTCAACAGAGAAAGACTGTGAGAACACAGGTCGTCAAACAGGGAATAGAAAAGTGTGCGATCAGGTGACCGACAAGGCACACTAAACAATAGAGATCACGGCACAGCGTTTCGTATGAACACTGGTCTTACCACGGCCATCCACTTACAATCTGGTGACGTTCATGAACTCTCATTGATTCACCCATTCACCCGTTCACAACTAACCTCCCTGGTCCACTTTTTACTCCTACACACTCACAGACACCAATTATCACCTCTTTCTAAACTTTGATTTCCTTTGCAGATATGTCTCCTCCCACCGCCAGGTTAATCTATTATAAATTGTGCTATATTTAGCCAGTTGATGTGGTACCGAGTTTGCTTCCGCTAACTGGTGTTCACATGATCACTCAATGAGGAATATTTTCGCATCGTGTGATGGGTGCTCAATGTGGTTCAATGACTGACAAACTGTGACGCGGATACGTAAAAGAGTTCTGCACCATTGTGATTATAAACACACATTCCAATTTCGGACACAACCATTTTTCACGACTTACATGTGCCAGCAAATGGTAAATTTGCACAACACCGTAGTTGGGTTTGTGTAAAACAGTGACGAATTGAATAGAACCGAAAATGACAATGAGATTTTCATGAGAATCGGCAAACAAGCATAAACGAACAGTAAGCAACGATCTGTCTCAAACTGAATCGCGTTGAAGAGAACATCTGGTTGCGTCAGGTTCACAGAGGGAATGTGTCGTGTACAGGAGCGAATGAAGCGTGAACTAAAAAGCTAGGAAGCACACTACAGAACTTTGAGAAAACAAGATACGCGGCGAGGGGCGGGGCGGGGCGGCGGAGAGGGAAACTCACTAGAACCTTGTTCTGCCATCTGTAATGTTCGTCGGAGTACGGCTTGCATTGTACTGATCACTTGTTGAAACGTATTCTAAACGAAAAATCCGGAGAAAAAAAAAATTTACCTCACAACATCCTATATTTCGACAGCATTTAAACAGACAGTAATAAGCAAATTTACCAGTCATCTTTCTGATTAGCAAAGTGATATGAGGTATCGAAAAAGGATTGTAATCGGAGGCATTCAAAACTAAACCAAAGCACTTACTGTCGTCAAAACAGTCTTGTTGTGTCGTTTTTCACTAGTGTATCATAATTTTCAGCTTCGTTTCTCTATAAATCAGCACGTTCATTGCCAACAATGTGCAAAAGCTCAAAAGGGAATGAGTCCACTGCACCCTACAATGCACACGTTGTATTTGGCTTCGAGGAAAAATCAAATCACAAACGGAAATAAGCGCGCAATTTTGGGGAATACAACTACATATTTTTGTATCTAAATGAATGCCGAGGGCAATATGTGCAAAATCGGTTAACTTAACGAGAAAATAGAGGTTTTGGCAGTCAATCTCCTGCTATGTCATACACACACACACACGAGGGTTTAAAAAAAGTTCATCAAGTCAAGAAACTGCGAATAAAAGTTAGTTTTCAGCTTCATTTTATAAAACCATGCACTTTTGTGGGTCAGTTTTGGTTGGTGTCTTTTGACTTCCCATTTGGATGAAGCAATAGGAGAGAGAGAAACAGCAAGGTTGAAAATGCTTATCTTTTTTGTTCACCCATTAAACAGGAATAAAGTAGTAACATCTGTACTTCTCTTAACCGAGCTTGGTGTTTCAAGAATTAGCAATTTCCCTTTATTTGTTCACTCCTCTGTAGTCAATGGCTTCTTCTCGAACCCATTTTTTTTCCACTGAACTGATTCGGTTGGAAGAAAACGATCACTGCATTTTTCGCAATTGAAGAGGTCTACTTTTCGCTTTATCGCAATAAGACGGCTGAATTCTTCGCATGTTTCCTGTAAACTCATACCGGAAGCGTTCAGCCGAACCAAATATGTTTGGTCATCGTCCATTAAGTCCGTCTTGCGATGACTGACAGCTGTGAGTAGTTTTCACGAGCAGCAAAAAGTGAACACAAAGCGGCTGACTCACCCCGCCACAGATTCACAAACAAATCAGAATGGTGTGTGGACGAGTTTGTGGGTTGTGATTATCCTGCCGTTTGACACAGTTTCCTAGGGTAAAAGTGTAAACGAACCGTATCTGAAAATTCTACTCAGCAGTGCGTTTCCGGCTTAATGAATGAACACTAGTGCCGTCGTACGTTATTCAATGTAATTCAGCTACTATGAGCAAGATTCAATAAGAATTTCGGTAAATACTAAGCAACTTATTCTGTCTCAACATTCGGAACAGCCGAATTCGAGAAACAGATCCAAACACTCAGAACCCGAACGCAGGGAAACCATTTGAAAGCATCTTAATTTAATTTAAATGCAATGAAAATCTGTGTGATGACCGACAAAGAGCATTGGGCAGTTGTTTCGTCCTGTGTCCCTGTCAGGAATCGAACCGCGAACCTTCAGGTTGGGACACCGCCACAGAGCACTGGATAACTGTTTTGTTCTGCTTGGGACTCTCCAGCAGTACTAACTGGAGGAATTTACGACCTCCCAAGGAGTGAAACTGACACCCAAGATCATCAACAGTGCTGGAGCTTGGGCTAATCCAAACATTCACCATCTAAGCATCCTAGGTTCTTTCGTTCTGCTTCAAGCCTAATGCAAGTTTAGTGAGGACAGCGCTACGGCGTGTCTAACGAACACAATCGGATTGAGAGATAGGACGTGAACTCGTTGAATAACGATAGGAAAGTCTGTAGTGGTCATTTGAAACAGATTCTTATCCAACAGCCAACATGGCGAATAGCAATAATGATCCAGGCGATAAGTAGCACAATCGCCNTGCTCTTGTCCTTCTCCATTGTTCTCTCCTTTGGTTTTGACAGAAGTCTCCTTTAACAACCGGTAGGTTTGTGGGCGACTTGGATTCCATACGATCTGAGCAGTCTTGCTGTCATTTCCGAAACGTCCATGATGTACAGCAGGGTCGTTCTTGTTCCCGATTCTCCGTCTGTTGTTTCTTTCTTTCTTTGGGTCAAAGTTCTTTTGACGAAGTTGCGGGTGTAGCCGTTGCGAGCAAATACTCTGAGGAGATATCTTTCTTCCTTCTTCTTGAGTATGTTGGTGCTGCAGTACGTTTGGATTCCTCCCAACAGGGTTCTAACACAGCATCTTTTGTGGCTGTGTGGATGATTACTTTTGAAGT